CCTAGTTCGAACTAAGCGCTCCGTTAGTTCGAATTAAATTCGAACTAATGGAGCGCTAGTGTAGCGCCTATGAAAGTTAGTTCGAACTAACGTCCGTTAGTTCAAACTAACTTTGTAGTGTAGACATACCCTAACAGAGTTTAAAGAGAAGCTAGATAATTTCATGGAGGTTAGGTCCATAAAAGGCTATTAGCCACAGGACAGAAATAGTGTCCCTGGCCTCGCGGGAGAGGGATGGCACAATACAAATGGCTTGGTCACTGTCGTCGATCCATCCCCTCCAGGGTCCCTAGGATTGGCCACTGCCGGCAGACAGGCTACTGGGCTAGATGGACCTTTGGTCTGACCCAGTACGGCCGTTCTTATGTTCTATGTTAGGTGTCTAAATCCCATTGACATTGAGCAGGATTTAAGTGTCTAATTTAAGTGTCTTTAGTGCCCAAGCCAATTTTTAAAAATAAGATTTATAAGATCTTCTTCAGTAATTCTCAAAATTTTGCACTAAATCTTGTTCTGCCTTGATTGACCTCCTGTGGAAAATTATAAGCCCTTTGACATATCCAGGCGCATGCCCCAAAATGGAGGCATACATAGTTAATAACCACTTTTGAACATTTTGCCTGATGGCCAGATTTCCATCTCTAGAGCTATTTCTACACTACCATGTTATTTCAGAATAACTATTTCAAAATAAGTTTATTCCTCTTTAAAAGCAGGCGTTATTATTTTGAAATAACAAGCCCATTATTTCAAAATAACAGGCTTGGTAGTGTGGATGCTCACCTTGTTTTTTTTTTAAATAACTCCCCAGTGTAGAAATGCTACAAGTGTTTAGATACTTAAAAGTGGTAGGTAGGTCCCTAGTGGGATACGAGTGCATAATGGGAGTTAGGCACCTAATCTGCTTGTTTTTCAGTGGGTGCTTGCTTTCTGTACTTTTGTAAATCCCACCATTTCCAGGTTAGCTAATCAGGCTCCACGTATAGTGCATGGGGAGATGTCTTAGAATGGAGTTCTCAAAAACCAGTACGCTGAGCCGGGTACTGCCTAAGCTAGCCAGCAGGCAATGTTGATGAGAGTTAGGCTTTTTAGTTTGAGGCTGAAGAAGGTGCCTATCTTCACTTGTATCAGAGGGGTAGCCGTGTTAGTCTGAATCTGCAAAAGCGACGAGGAGTCCTGTGGCACCTTATAGACTAACTGAAGTGTAGGAGCATAAGCTTTCGTGGGCAAAGACCCACTTCGTCAGATGCATCTTCACTTGGGATTCACAGTCATGAGCCCTCTTCTGGAGCTAATCCTGGTGAGTTTTGGGTGTTTTTTTTATTAAAGAAAAACCTTGGCGATCCTTTCCCCTTATACCTGTTGTCTAGCCCCAGGCTCCACGCAGCACTGCTGCTTTGAAGAACCCCTTCTTTCCCCTCCCCTCCCCATCCACTGCCTCTTTTTGATAAAGGCAGCAACAGGGGGTGGGGAGAAGCGACTAGTCTAGTGTGTTGACTATTTGCTTATCGGATAGTCGACTAGTTATTCACATCCCTAAAGTGCTGCTCAGTCTTGGAAGCCGTGCACTATTCTTTAGTGTCTCAGCTCAGTTCTACTGCTCTGTGCCAGCTGTCCATAGCAGATACAATCTCTGGCCAAAGCATCACTTTGGAAATGGAGACTTGGAGTGTACAATCAGCGAGCAAGTGCATTAATTTTTCTATTTCAGCGATGAGGTGAGATGCAGTGCTTTGGGAAAGTATGTGACAAATCAAATGTGCAGGGACCCAAGGCACTTTTCATGTTTAAAATATCAAAGAAAATGAAAGCAACCTAGAGATCAAAGGAAGTTTGCTAGTAGGTGTAGGAGAAATGAATCAGGTAATCAGGTCATGTCTATGAATAGGTTAGATAGGATGGAAGGAGCAAAAAGCTCAGCTGAGCAGCAAGTCAAATTCAAGTCTTCAAGGAAATGTAGGAATGATTTGCTTTGAGCAGAACTCTAGTCTTCAATCTGCAAAATTAACAAAGTGCTAGAACTCACAAAAACTACACAAAAGTGGCTGAATTTTGACAAAAGCAGAGTCACAAGAGTAACTTGAAGTCAGAATACATGTACAGTAGACTTCTGATAACCCGGCACCTTTGGGACCTAGGTGGTGCCAGATTATTGGATATGCCGGAGTATTGGGAGGTACTCCGGT